ATCTCTACACAAGCACACCCGAGCATGTAGACACCATGCTGAATTTGTAAAAAGACCCCCCTCAAAAAAAAAAGAAGAAGCCTACCTCCCTACCCAAACTTTTCAGCCTGGGTCGGGTGAGGGCAAACAAATACTTTTTTAATTGTGGCTTTACGATGGGATCGCGGATCGTTTACGCGTCACGCGTACAAGCGACGGCGTCGTAGACATTTCCGAGCCGTTGCATCATCTCGTTGCGTTCTCCGTCTCGACTATTGCCTTAATTTCGTGAAACTTCTTTAAATGCTCGTTAATTTCGTGAAACGTCGTTACACTCACGTGTTAATTATGTGAAATGTGTTGTGTTAAATTCGTCTCGGCTTAATGAGGGAGAATCGGTTAGTTAATAATCTTAGCACGATACTGTGATGGTAATGTGTGTGTCATGGTAATATGTGTGAGAATGGATAATGACAGACCAGCAAAGGCACTCTTATACAGCGAGCTTGCAAATGGATCCCGATCTGTTGGTTGCCCTAAGTTGAGATATAAGGATACCTGCAAAGGTGCTCTGAGGTGTGGTAATATTCTTGATCAGTGGAGGAATGTTGTAGACCACAGACAGGAGTGGAGTGGTCTTGTGCATACAACTTGTGAATGCTTCAACATAAAGAGAATCAAACAGTATGAAAGAAAAAGTGAACGAAGACTAAAGAATTTGAACAAAAGATGATCTATGAACTTTATAGCGATAGACTTGTACTACATTATTATTCTGTGTAATGCCCGTTTCGGGCTCTCACTAGACGTATATATGTAATGTGTGTGTGCGTGTGCGTGCGTGCGTACGTGTGTGTGTGTGCAGGCGTGCGTGTGTCAGAAGGCACTTGCTTACATTGCTAACATCTTTGTTTGTTCTACTTACAGTATTTCATTGGCAAGCTACCATAATGGGACCAGTAAGTATTATTTTTGCAATAATGCGATATCGCTTTGACGTTGTCTGTAGTGCGTATATATGTTGCAGTGCGAGCGGTACTTGCACTGTGCGCCTGTCCCTGGAGTGCGTGGTCCGTTTGTTTGCATGTTAAAGATCGGGCGCTAGGCCACCCTCGAATTATTCACTGTTTGTCGTGACGTAGCCATATGCATTTTACAGCCGCGCCTCAGTTGCTTATTTTAAGTGTGCAAATTTGTGCGTGCGTGCGTGTGCATGCGTGTGCGTGCGTGCATGTGCGTACGTGCATGTGCGTGAGTGAGTGTGTGTGTGTGCGTGTGCGTGCATACGTGCGTGCGTGATTCCGCTGGGTCGTTTATCTGCTGTAACGATACTGTTTTAATTAACATCTTGTTTTCAGCAACTGACACAGCATATCAAGGGGTTGGAGTGGGAGGGGGGTCGGTCGGCATATGAAAAGAAAGCTGGATCCCTAATGGAATATTCTTATACGTGTACTTAAAAAGCCTACGTATTAAAGAAATGCATAGTCGATATGACTGACAAATTCGTATGCTTAGCCCGAATGGAAAGCCATTTTAATATGCCCCGGTGCCGTTTGTGTACCCTAGAATGTCGTGGGCCTTGCAGTCGGGGTACGCTTGAAACAAGAGCGTCGTTTGCCCCGCCCGCGCGGCGTCCCTTTCTCGGAAGCCGATCTCGGTCGCACAGCCGTTTATCGAGACGACGCGGCGGCGGCGGCGGCGTGCGTTGCAGACCTGCCAACCCTTACGATTTTTTCGTATTCCTTACGAATTCCATGATGTTTCTACGAATAAATGTCAAGTAAAAGTCCAGGTAACAGTGTATTTCCTCTTTATTTTAGTAGTATCTGCCAAGTTGAGAATTCAATTATCACTGCATCAAATTGATAGCCGGTAACAAATTGCGCGATAGGCGGTAAAAATAACCGGTTACCGGCTATTAACAAGAACCCTGCTAATCTGTTCTAGGGTCTCTGCTGAACCCAAATTTGGGCCAGATATATGGCGGCGCTTCCTCTCCTTGTTATATATAGCTCCTTGAAAAGATCGAGATCCCAAGTAACACGGCGCGTCCATGCATAGCTCAGCTCCTTATATTCATATGCAGTGCAGTGCAGTGCAGTTCAATGGGTACAGTATACACTCGTAGAAATCTATATTGCATGCATAGTGGCTTGATACACCGTACCCTACACACTACGTCTTACACACATACAGTAAGTGTACTTTTTCGCATATTTTGAGAATGTAAAGTGTACTTTTTCGCAGATTTTGAGAATTGCCTTGGTGCTCTTTTCAAATTTTGAAAATTGCCTCTAGGTGTCCTTAAAAAATCAGAAAATTGCCTAGGTGCCCTTTACTTTGTTACAAAATCCAATGCAATTTCTCATGTGCCCTTTAAAAACTGCCTTGCCCCTCCTAGGGCTTAAGGCGAAGGTTGTGTAAAACGGTGCATTATAATCACTGTTCAATTGAAGATTTGGCGGTGTTTTGGACAAATTTTTCTGTGGCAGCTGAGAATTTGAGCGAGGCGGCCCGCCTCGCTCGTGTCAATGCAGGGGAAGCACTGATAAGGATACGTGCGAACTAGAAATAGGCAGTGATGAGGGAGTGTTACTATATTAAGAGCTCATAAATACCTAGAGTGTACAACGGGAAAATAGTGCTATTTCACGGCAATATTATTTTATTTTGCTTGCGAGTTTAGAATAATTTTATGGTATTGCATTAAAAGCAGAATTCTTTGCTCTCTAAAACAAGACTAACCGCTTGTCAATACGATACCCCTAGGCTGAGATATTGGCTCGTAAACTTCCCCTCCCACAGGCCTCACGGCGCCTCGCATCCACAATATTCACTATCCTTCTCGCCTTCGGCGGGTTAGGAAAGTCGCTTCGTGAGAGTTCGGTTTTTTCTGCGATAACTTTATGAATGAACGGCGTTTCGGTTATCATCGGTGACTTTCGGGGGCATCGCCTATGCCCTTATCTCCCATTATCTTTCCTAGCACGGCTAATGCCCATCATGATCGAGCCGGCAATGTTTTCTAAGTTGTTCTCTACAACGCAGCTCAGTTACTATATGGTGTAGTAAAAGTATGAAATTTGGGCCTGTGACATCAATTATCAGCGCTCCAAGCGGCGACGGAAAACGATAGCCAGACCCGCAAAAGGCGAGAAGGATAGTGAATATTGTGGATGCGAGGCGGCGTGAGGCCTGTGGGAGGCATGATTACGCTCCAATATCTCGGCCTAGGAGTATCGTAGAGACAAGCGGTTGGTCTTATTTTACAGAGCAAAGAATGCTGCTTAACGCAATACCATGAACTTAGTCTAGAACCGCATACAAAGTAGAATAATATTGCTGTAATTTCACTGTGATCGAAATTATTTATTTTTTTGTCAATTTATTGTCATTTTTGACCCTCAGAATGCAGGAAATTGCATCTCAGAATCAAAATGTTTTCCAGTGGGCATGCCGGACCCCCCTAGCAAACTCGGGTCACTACGTGACCCTCGAACTACTGGCCAGAAACTACAGATTGCTTCAAATATGTGTTGGCATTTCTGGGTTGGGTAGATGTGTATGCAGCTTGTAAAACACAGGCAGGACTTCGGCAAGATGCTTGAGCTGGCTCGGGCGCACGCCTTTACGACTTCGTTGCGCGTTCGGAAATAGACCGTGCTGCGCGTTTCATGTTTTTTGTTGTTTTTCGAGTGTGTTTTTTGTTTTCGCGCGCGACTGCAAGAGTTGCGCCGATATTCGCGGGTTTTTTGTGTTGTTCGTTTCGGCAGCGTGCGTTCGCCTCCGTCATGCGAGTTCTCGCCAGGGAGCGGGTGAAGTTGGATCTTTTCACGCAACGCTCCACGCGATTTCTAAGCCTAGCGCAGACCTGCGATTTTTGGTTGCTCGACGCTGCAACCTGCAACCGCAAGCGATCGGTCGATGTGTCGCCGCGTGTGCGCACACATGCGATTTCGAAGCAATTCGATAGCAATTTGGGAGCGACGAGTCGCTCTAAATCAAAACAGTTTGATTTCGCGCAACTCGTCGCAAGCAGAATCGTTACGGGTTGCAGAACTTTGCACGTTCCCGCAGACGTAGCGAATTCACAGCGATTCTAGAATCGCTGTCGAGTTCCATCAAAAAGTCGTCGTTTGCCTCCAACTCGCTCTCCCAGATTTCATCGAAGATTTCATTCGGCACAAATGCGTACTTTGTGTCGGCGTGCTTCCGAGCGCGCGTACCTTGCATTAAAAAGTTGTCAAGTTGTAAGTACCTTGCGTAGTTGCATTAAAAAGTCGTCGTTTGCCTCCAACTCGCTCTCCCAGATTTCATCGAAGATTTCATTCGGCACAAATGCGTGTGCTTGGTGTCAGCGTGCTACCGAGCGCGCGTACCTTGGCGCGTGTAACAGCCACAGAGTTTTGCAAACTTGAATGTAGATGGCGCCAGCGGACGGTTTCGTTGGTCGCTCATTGACGTGCTCTTTTGTTTTCTTTCCCGCAGGAATTGCAGGATCTAGGTCGAGACCCACCGGCACAATGCAGCGCGGGACCAGTAGGGGATGATTGTAAGTACCGGTGTCCCACTCCCCCTCACGGTTCTCTCGCGGTCAAACGGTAAAGCCCCGGACACACTAGGCAATTTAGTCATGTCCAGTGAGTCACCGCCAATTTTCGAGTCGGGCGACTGTCCGAATCAAACATGTTTGATAAAATCGGGCGATTATTTGAGTCGCGCGACTGCAATTGCCAAGTGTATCCAGGTCAGCAAATGAGTCGCCCGAATTTATCAGCCAATCAAACGGTGCCATTTTCAATCGTGTGACTATCAATCTAGGTGGCGCGTTTTAGTGTTGCAGCGGGAGAAAAATCGCGGATGAATCGCGCTGATATTCGCCTAGTGTGTCCCAAGCTTAAATTGACTACGTCACGAATTTTCTATGGAAAAATTTGTAAAATTTTTGTTGCGATATTTTTACATTCAAAGTAAGAACTAACAGGACTAAACGTATCGTCAAATTCTTACCTGATAAGATTGTTTCTCAGCTAGTTAAAAATCCAAAAAACCTGGGCGATTTTATATTAGTGTTCCTAATATTAATTGCTTGCTATGGGCTATTATGTATGAGTCACGAGCGTATGTTCACATCGAACAATATAGTAAAATAAGAAGTATAATGCAGCAATTTAACCATAAAAAGTGAACAGAATTACTTATATATATATTTTTTTTGTATTTACGGTGACGTAATCGCTTGAAGGTGTTCAGAACATGGTCACACAGTTGTAGTGGGTGACTGCCGGTAATAGTTGGTAAAGAGGGGGGGGTAACGACGTCGCTCATTCTGCTGACAAATTTACGAACAAACTGCTACTTTTTCTAGAAAATTACGGCCACAGTTTTCTGTGTTTTCCAGGTATGATTATTAGCATGGTCCTCTTAAGAGTTAGTTAGCGGGGGGGGGGTGCCCAAGTCGCTCACACTACAAGTGCTGTGACTCTGTAAATGGTGAAAATACGTTAGATTTCGATCCTGGCAAAGGTAAGCAAGGTGTGTGTCAGGGGAGCGGACGCGTACGTGCCACGACGCACCCGTCTAATTAACAAGCCTTCGTTAATCGAAATCGGAGCAGGTGTGTAATATGAGAGAGTGCGCGCGTGTGTACTTACTCTCGTCTCATGTAACCCCAGTAGGGAGAGATCGCCGAGAGAGCGAAACCAAGTAAGAGTTTGCGTCATCGATAAGAGATCTAGTGTGGCGATGTCGGCCAGCAGCGGATGGAGATGTAATCTCGTTGTGTTATGTCGTCATAGCAAACTCTTGATTAGCAGATATTTCAAAAACGAAATTAAGTTGGCTTTATTCTTTAATTCAAGATTTTTAATTCATTTTTATTTTTGTCTGCGGCAGCCGAAGCGTTTGTGTGCCGCACGAAGTTATTCTTATTTCGTCATTCGTTATTAATTATTGT